ATCCTCTTATCGATGGCCATCTCTTCGTGATCCTTAAGAATGGTAAACGTCTGCAACTCGAGTGTCGTCTGTTCCACTTGTTCCACGAGATCGCTGGTCTGTTTGGTCAACTGCGCCGCCCGTGACTGATAGCCGCCCAAAAGGATTCGCAACTTTTTCTCAATCTTCGCCGCCTTTTTCGCCTCTTTCGTCATATGAGACCGATTCTGGTCTAACCTATGGATCAGTTAAACACACATTTAATACCGACACACAAACGCCTACCGGTGCTCAACACAACATACCTTTTCTCCAATGACTCAATTCTGTCCTTTTTGTTGACGAGATTAGCTCTGGTGTACTTGTGTTGGGACGGCAGGTACAGCACTTGCGACAGACACTCGTCCCACACCTGACAGTAACCGTCGAGTGTCAGCTCCGTGTGCGCCATACCCTGCTTCACCACATCCATCTCGGTCTGGAGCACCTGTTTGGCCGCCGCCAACTGATCCTTACTGTACTTAACGTACGGGTGTTTCTCCAGAAACGTCGTGTGGACAGCATTGGGATTGGATTGATTGCCACTGCGGGCCGACCGATAACTACTGGCCATGAGTTGACTGTCTGTGGGGTTGTGTACGGCGTCGTAGTGGAGCATAACCAGCATCTCTTCTTTGATGAGTTCTTCGGCCCGCTGTATGGCCGACATCTGGGGATCAGCCGCTTGGGCGCCGGTTCTCAGTATAGAGTTGTTCACGTCGGCGGGTCGGGGCAGTTGTCGCTGCACGGGTTGCGACTGCCGGCGGCGCTCCTCTTCCAGCGCTTCCAGTCGGCGCCGCTCGCGCTGGTCGTCGAGGTCGGCCTGATCTTCGACGGATAGGCCGGCGTCCGCCGACTCATCCATATCTTCCTCGTCGTTGACCACAATCTCGTACTCGTTCTTCGGCGCCGGCAGTGCTGACAACGCTTTGCGCAGCGTTTCCCGCGTCTCCTTTTGCTGCTGTTTCGCCGACCGTTCGTCGCCCTCGAAGACCAGCGCCTCTTCCGCATTGATGGCCAACTTGTCTCTCAACGGTGTGGCCAACGGTGTCTGACCGCCAACCGAAGAGCCGGGCGTTCGCGGAGTGGCAGCCAAACTGCTGT